AACATCGACCAGACTACACAGCGCAACAACCCAGAAGACAGAAATCTTCATACTCATCGCCCTGATGACGGAGGCAGTATGACCTCTGAAACGTTGGTTAACATCGTCCAGACTACACAGCGCAACAACCCAGAAGACAGAAATCTTCATACTCATCGCCCTGATGATGGCGGCAGGATGACCTCTGAAACGTTGGTTAACATCGACCAGACTACACAGCGCAACAACCCAGAAGACAGAAATCTTCAATATCATCATGCATACCGCCGTGAGAACCTCATCTTTAGAGTGCATAGTTCAACTTGGTGTTAATTGTTGTGACAGATTTTGTAAAATACTCTGACAATGTTGTGTTATATTTGGGACCTATGAAAAATAAGTGCCTCAGTAGATTATAGTTCTCCTTAGAACATGATAGCCGTCTGACTGATCAATAGATTTATCTCCTCTCATGGATCCAAAGATACTTTATAATCTTGACAGCCCTACGCTGGCCCTTATCCTCAGACAGCTGAATTCAGACCAAAACTTCACATTCTACGTCTTTAAGTTTCGATTTAATTATCATTGTCAGCAAACACAAGAAGCTTATTTTTAAATTTAAAATTACTGAAGTATTTTATTATAATACGTAAAATGAATGAAGACACGCCACTAGACGAAGAGATTCTGGATGCCTGAAGAAAATATGGAGGGGGTTTCTACATCCGGTGAGTTCATGAAAGTTCTCTCAGAGGTTACCAGTGTTTGAGTTACATGAACGATGAAAATTTAACTATCTTTTTTGTTTGTGTGTTTCGTTGGTTTTATTTCCTATAATTACCTCTGTCTGGAAGGAGTAGATCATCAAGCATGTACAAGACGCCGTTCTGACCCATCACGAAGTCCGACCTGAGCCTCTTCTCCTCTACTGTTGTTCCTTTTCGATCACAGTCGAACGTTAGTTTCTCTGGGCCCAGAGTTCGTACCTTGTGTTCACCGATAATTGCAGGCAGACAAATAGGGTGTGGAATCACATGATTTTCCAGCAGAGCTGTCAAATTAATACAAGTTATAAGTTTGTGGTAACTAAAATGTGTCATTAAAATGTCACTACATTCTTGTAGTATTCTTAGATGTGAGGCAAGAAGGGCTCGCGAAAATTAAAATTACGTTTGATTTAGACCCTTATTACCGAGAAACGAAGAAACAAATATTAGTTTTTATTCCTGACTTTTAAAAGTCCAATAATTATGTGTTTAAATAAGTACGTTGGTCCCATTTCAATATTGTCCTCCCATGTAGGACCCGCGCCTAAGTGTCCCAACAGTTATCCCGACCAAAATAAGACTTGTTCACCCCTCTACTTCCCTGTCCTAACTACGGGCCCAGCGCATTGTAGACTCCTTTCTGTGAAGAAAATTTAATGTTGGAAGCCCAATAGAAAGATTGGATGCTCAATGTATATTACAAAGAGAATGAAACAGACCATTAAGCTTTATCCTCTAATCCATTAAAGCATGCTGGTAACTTAAGTATCGCCTGCATTTAACATTAAGTGATGCTGCCTCCTGTCCCATAGAGTATATTTGCATGTTTCGTATGATTTGAAGAAAAAACAGTTTTAATTTTGTCAAACTGTAATAACCAGTTGATCTTTGTAGCGGAGACGCGTTGTCTCTCCCTTGCGAGAGGGTACTAAATTCTTAAATATAATTTTGATTACCTGGGACCTCCGGATACAAGTATGGAATATGGAAAGAAATTTAGACGCCAGACAAGTGATACGTTACCTTCCCTGGCGTGTTTGTCATTCATAATCCTCTCGAGACGGGATTGGGGTATCTTCTGGAAGGCTTCGTCTGACGGTGCGAGGATGGTGCAGGGTTGTTGGGAGTTGCGCAACCTGGCCACGAACCCCGATTGCTCCATGGCCTTGGCTAGTTCTGAGAACCGCCCGTCCTGAAAATGGAGTTCAGTATTACCGACGATACAGGCTCTGTTCTAGTTCTTTCAATGTTATCTTTTTAAGCAATTTTCTATTTATAAATTTTGACTACGGAGGTGACCACTGCAGTGCATGTACGTATTGTGTGTCTGTGTTTACATGTGGCCAGACCAGGCTTCGGCTCCTTACCTGAAGCACTAGTTCTGCGAGGTCACGTGGTACTGTGAGGTCCGGATCCAAAAGTGAATCGACTACATGAACAATTCCGTTTGTTGCCTCCTGGTCTTTCCTCACGATGAAAGCGCAGTTCACTGTTTCTATCTGAAACGAAAACAGAAATCTTAAGTGTGATCTTATATCGAAGTTATAATCATTGCGCTGCGTTGTATAGAAGTACTTGTACTTGGCAGGCCATGAATAGTGGGATTATCTCGTAAGGCCCAAAGCCCCTTAACAGCATTACCATGGCATTGGTTATAACATAAGGCTAAAGATCTAGTAATAGCAAGTGATCACCAACCAATAAATCGACCAGGTTAAAACTAACACTTGCCTTTTATATAGACATTTGCAATTTCATTGTTACACTAGGCCTACAATTTTTCATAAAAGCCTTGGCGATGAATCAACACTTTAGCTAGCTGACTGTAAGATTACGAAGAGGTGTAATTTATGCAACGTACCCCATTGGAATACTTATTGATACGAAGTTTGTGTCCGGTGTACCGGGTGTCAACCAGAAGATCTGCCCGGAAGTGCTGCGAAGTCAGCTTCCGGTCCGCCAGATGATACAACAAGAACGGGTTCTGAGGGTCTTCACGTTTGCCGTCCAGGCGAGACCTCTGCTCCCGAGCCAAGTCCTGCAAAGTTGAGGACTTGATATGACGGTAACAACCGGAGATTAAATCTATGCCCGAAATAAAGTTTTGCTATTACTTTTGCAGGTAAGAGTGGCTAAATTTGCCTATACTAAGCAGCAGACTTACATCAAATGCGTCATCAAGAGGTGCAAATAGCGTGTAAGTCCCTCCCTTTGAAAGCTCGTTGCCGAGACCAGAATCTTCAATGTAGCTGACGAATTTTCTTGCACCCAAATCTCTAGCGGTGTCCAAGATATTCTTCAGAGGCTTCACTGAACAAAGAAAACAAGTATAACAACCAGTTTTTCTTTCACGAAACTTGAAAACATTATTCTTTACGCTTCTCGCTGTATCAAATTTGCTACAGTTATTAAATATTTAAGTAGCATGTTCTTCATTTATGTGTAAACTTGACGCCAAAAATATCAAATTTCAGTGTTCAAGTGAATTCTAAATATTGTTGGAAATTCAGACACTCACAATGTTATTTCAGTTGAGTGAATGGCTCTGTTTCTTGTAGGGGTAGGAGTCGAGTGGCCCAACCTAGTGTATGCAGTGGATGTGACCGATGAGACGGCGGCTACACTGTGAAGCTTACTTCTCGCACACCCATCAAGTACCGAGGTATGGAAAGGTTTGTTTTGTCTTAATTAACATCCCTTAATGGGTTCATGCTCAGCAAGACACAGCTTGAAGATTGTGGAGAATTACGGAATGAGGAGCTTCACAGTCGTTACTCCCCGCCAAATATCATTACGGTAATTGATTGAAGGGAGGCAGGGTAGGTCAGTCAGAATAGTGTTTGACTATGAGCTGGAAAATTGGGGTTCGATCTCCGGCAGTGGCAGAGGAGTTTTCCCTTAACCTTTGCGTTAAGACCGGCTCTGAGGTCTATCCAGCCTCCAATCCAATGGGCACTAAGAGTCCCTTCTGCGGGGGGAAAGCGCGACCGGGGCGTAACGCTGACCTCTAGCCCCCAGTCAAGCTTGAGTATAAGGTATGTCTCCTCTCCTCAAAGCGCTTACATGGCGTGTTACCAGACACCTTTACATTTTTGTGTGGGATTGAAGTGAGAAATGCATACATTTTAGTCTAAGAAACCTTGAAGGAAGAGACCACGTGGGAGATATTCGTATATCAGAGGATAGGACTAAAATGAATTTTAAATAAACAGGGTGACATTGTGAATTGGATTCATGTGTGTCAGGATAGGGCACAGTGACAGGATTTTGTGAATACTGTAACTAACCTTTAGCTCCTGTAGACCTGGAAGGTGGGGAAATTCTTGGCCATTTGAGAGATTGTTGGTTTCTGTAGAAGGAATCTACTTTATTGAGTTACTCAGTATGCTTAATAAACATCGGAAACAATACATTACCTCCTGCACAACCGGGCTGGTCGGCCACTTGCTGGTACCCTTCACAACATTCATATCGGATCACCCTGGAAGAGCAACAAGATGAAGGTTCAACTGCTGCCTTTGTTATGAACAGTCCCAGGGACAGTAAATCTGCTTACGTCAAATTATGTAACTGCAGATGGAATTTTGATTCATTTAATGCGTCTTTCAATTGTATGAAATGAGTTATGCCTATCCCTCTGTCCGAATGGTTCGTCAACGAAGTTACCAGACTGATCTGTACTAAAAGTTATTGAGCGAATTTGACACTTTTAGGTATTTAGACGGGCTGATCCAAACACTAGCGGAAATCACATTATAGCCAAATATTGGATTGAATCCACGTAGGGGTATGGCAGGTGTCCAGATAAACGTACTTCAGAATTAAACTGGAAATTAATGTCACTTGTGGAGCATAATTATCGCAACAGATGCAGGCATACCAACTCTTGCTAGTGACAAAAACGAATTGGAAGAAGTATTAATCATGCATGCATGCGGCCGACTTCTCAGAATATTATTGATATTTAGGAATCGTGATGTTACTAACTGTTCTGTGCCAAATGTTATACTGACATTTGTCTTAGTTGACCAGTCTGACATTTTCGACAGAATGGAAGACTACAAATGTCAACACACGCCGAGCAGCAAATGCCCTTTACTGCAGAGACATGTTTCTGAACTTAGAATGCGGCCCATTTCCTTCCAAAATATGTTCAAACATAAGTCTCATTGTATCAAAATTCAGCCAATCCTCTGGATCTAGTATGACCCTTGGAACGGTCAATTTCATTTACCTGACTGGCAGTCATAACTGGTATTCTTTATACCTTTTTCAAGTCCTGTCAGTGCAGAAATTAATTTTGGTTCAATATGGTGGCAAGCTGTCACGTCTTTGACTTTCCGGAATGCTCAAGGAAGAATTTATAAAGGTTTTTGGGAGTCAATGGGCGACTGCAAACGAACCAGCCCTCGGAATTCTGCTGTTTCGTGTGTCACCTGTTGTTATCTGGGCTGTAAAGCGGTGTATTCCTGTAGACGGTTGCCAACTTTTTGAAGGAACCCAGCACCTTTGTCTTCAGGGTCAGAGTGTTTAAGACGTGTTTTTGAGGTGCTTGCTATCTCATTGTCTTTGAAGTTGATTTATTTCATACATAAATTCACTGATACATAGCACAATTCTGAAAATGGAAGCTATACGTCTCTCCGAAACGTTAGCAACCACCTACAAGACTACACGGTATCACAACCCAGAAGACTGCAATCAATCACCGCTGTGAGGACTTCGTATCTTTTTACGTCCCGCACTTAATTGTTGACATGTTTTAGTAGACTGAGAGATTGATGAAGCTTGCTATCTTTTGCGGTGTTGCGCCGTGCAGTTTGGTAAAAGTTTATCGACGTTTCGGAGGTGTTTGCTGCCTCCATATTCGGAGTGACCAATGTTCTGAAATGTCGGTAAAGTTTTGTCAGATTACACGGCGCTTCAACCCAGAAGAACCCAGAAGCTGTTTTCATACTCGTTGCTGTAAGAACCTCAAGTCTCACAGAGTGATTGGTGTTTGTGACAAATACCAATGAGCATGCCCAGGATAAGATTTTGAACAGCATTGTTGTATGACCTTCATGTCACCGAAGAACTGGATCCATACATTTACAATGTTAAGCTGATGGCGTTGCATGGGTGATGCTTTAATACTTACGCCTTCTGACCACAGATGTCCCTGTTACGCCCATATTTGCACTCCGTCCAGTACTGGTAGTCGCTGCCAGGAACCTCTTCAACTACGCAAGCATTTGGCCTGCCAGCATCACGTACAAAGCAATACGAATTAGACACAGGAAGTAATATCGTCAAATTTTCATAATTCGAGGCTGTTTTGTTAGGGCAGCTTCTGTCTACGAATTACCAAAGTTTAAGAAAATGCTGGAAAATGTCACAGTGGAGTTCTAGGATTTTGCCTTTCTCGTTGTCTTCATGCTGATTTACTTCCGATAAATTCCTACTGATAAGAAACTCTATCGCAGTTAGCATATTTCACACGTATTCACCATCCCGAACACTGTTTTAAACATGTCTTAGGCCTAAGTGTTATGTACTGTTTATAAAGATACGCTGTTTTTGAGAACATCAATATATTTCAACGTGGATTTCATTTAAATGGGAATTAGACTATTTTTGACCGATATGAACCAAAATCAAGTTCGCCTGAGGGCGTTTAATGCAGATCCTTCAACACGAAATTTCATTGAAGGGAATGCCGGAATTTTTATGAAACATGCGAACCGATAGGCGTACAGACATAAAATACCTCTCCACTATGGGTTCATGAATGGAAACCTTCACAACAAAGTAGTTGCTGCTTGTGTATTTATTTTATTTTAATTTTTTGGCATGTTTATCGTAGGATATTGTTTTGATACAGGAATATCTACCACGTAACTTCTGTATATACACAGATCAAACCAATACTTGATGAAAGATCAGTCAACATATCGTGGTACTTCAGATTTGATGGGTTCCTTGTTTAACTAGAACGGATTATGTTTTTGATACGCCTTGTACCTCTTGCAGTTCTGCCTATGTACATATATGTAGTTAGTTACAGGACTTCAACAAGGTTCTCAATAAAAATAAGGTCTTAAAACTTAGTTTCTAATGTGACGTAATTTTTAAGTGTAGCTCTGAATCAGAAGTTCATGGTCAACCAATAGTGAAACTGAAAAGCTGTCCTGTCCACCCACATGTGGTAGTGTTATCCAAATATAGACGGAGCAACTGCTGGGCTCAGTGGATATGACGTATTGTGGTTTTCAGGCGTCTCCAGCCTCATAATTTAAGTGGCACAATTACATGAACAAAGCTGGTCTTACAGACACTCCTTCTTGTCACTGTTGCAGCCAAATAAATTCATGACCTAATAGTAAATGTGTTGGTACAGATTCTTCGTCAAAGTATTGTTTTCACAACGGTGGTAAGGTAACGTTGTTTCTGGTACTTATCAAGCACTACGCCATGAAGACGTGCGGGGTAGTGTACGTATAGCTCCACTCTCTCTTGACCTTGGTACTAGATGGAGGTGAGTGATCAGCTTCACGTCTCGGCCGCTTTATCCCCGGGGAAAGGGCCCCTGTAGGAGATGGGTGGGCACCAGAGCCGGTCTGGACGCAGAGACTAAGGCCCCCATACACACACAGTTTGGCCTTCCGATCGACCTTACAGGCAAAACTGTTACAGTTTGCCCTCTCCCTTTCCTTCCCCATACACGCGCAGATAAACCGGCAGGCTGCATGCCACAGTCACAATCTCCCAGCCTATGTCGCCGAGTGCAGTGCAGATATTTGACTGAGGGTCAGGAGTACTGTATGTTAAGTAACCTCCAGTACCGATTGAAGAGTATCTAGAAAGCGATCCAAGCTCTGCTTCAAAAAGGGCGTCATTTATTAATTTCTCTGCATAAATCCTTTGTTCATTATTTCCTAATGCTCGTAATTTGGCAGCGACATTTTTTGCAAAGAGTTCAAATTTGCCCTCATTTTTCACTTGAGCCAATCGATCACCCACTGTCACCAGTATCTGATCACTAGCAGACAGATTCCTTTTACGTTTGAATGAACCGCCGTAGGAACCGCTGACAATGGAAGAGGTGGCACCGTGGTAGATGTCTGGACCAGTGCTGATGTTTAATTCTGCATTTACGGTACAAGTTTCAAAATACCACGTTCTTAAGAAATGACATACAACGCGAAACAGTACTGAAGAACACGAGACAGCAGCAGCAACTGAGCGATTGGCTGGCCGGCCGCACCACACACACATGAGTTTTGCCTTTCAGTCAACTGTGCAGGCCGAACGGGAGACCAAACTGTGTGTGTATGGGGGGCCTAAGAGAAATTCTTTTGCCCCTGCAGGGAATTGAACTCCGGTCGTCCAACCCGTAATGTCACTTGTGTTCTTTGTACCAAGTGTAAAAAATGATCGTATTATGAACAGTTCGACTGTGCTTGGAACAGACCATGTAGAATGATCGTAGTGGGAAATATGTGTATACTTTTCTTGTAGGTGCATAATCAGATAGGCCTACGGAAAGAAGTGTGTTATAATTATTAAACAAATAAAACTAGTAATGCATAAGTAACGTGACACTCTTCACTTGCATATGTTTCAGTTCCGTGTTTTATCGTACTTCATCATGCATTATTGCTTACGTAAATGTACGTATATACGAGGTGCGATCGGAAAGTTTCCAGACTGCGCCTATAAAAAAAAAAACCGTACACTTATCTCAGGTATTAAATTCATCCATAACCCTCGAAGTAGTTCCCCTGGGAGTGAACACAACGATCCCAGCGCCGCTGCCAAGCCTGGAAGCATCCCTGGAAATCTTTCTTTGTCAGCCTGTCAAGCACCATCTGCGATTCTGCCTGAATCTCTTCTATCGTCTCAAATCTCCTTCCCTTTAGCTGAATTTTCATCTTGGGGAAGAGGAAGAAGTCACACGGAGCTAAATCCGACGAATAAGGAGGGTGCGGGATGACGGCCATAGTGTTTGAGGCCAAAAACTGCCGAACTTTGAGGGCGGTGTGCGCTGGCGCGTTGTCATGATGCAGCAGCCAGTTGTGGTTGCGCCACTTTGACGGCCGCT